GAGAAGGTGGGATCTGAACCTAGGCTGACTTCAGACTCATGTGCAATTGTGTTAGTAATAGCATTTCATCTAAGGGGAAAAGAGTAATGACTCTTTGTGGAGATGGTAAATAATTTAGAATTGAAACTACAAAATTTGTTGAACATTCCAGTTACTATTCGATGGTTATAAAAATAAATATTCACTGGCACTGCTCTCTGCTGTTGTTCCTGTACCATATACAGATCCATAGAATGTCACTTGGAGAGTCAATTGGATGTCAAAGTGTGGAGGACTATAATTTCATATTAGAATTTGCACCTTTAGACTTTTTATCAAGTTAGGCATTCCAGTTTCTTTGTACCTAATGATCTACTTGGTGGTAGAGCCTCTGTGAGAAGACTGGACTAGGGAATGTCCTTGGTCATTTAAAAGTCATGTGATTGGAGGACAGCGCTGGCAGTTAAGTATAGAGAGGATTCTGTGGCCTATGGAAGAAGAGCTGCTTCCATATTCCAAAAATGAATCAGGCTCACTAGCCAAGTTCAGCATGGTGAATGGGAGTAGAAACAGATGGTTTTGGATTGAGCATTTGAAATGGTTTTCCTTTACTCTGCCACCAGGAAGTTTATGAAGATTCCCCCTAGGAAGGGAAACTCTTTGTGTATTAAGACACAAGAACACACACGAAAAACCAACAACATAGACATTTCAACTTCTTCTGCCACCTCTGCTGACTTCTTCCAACCCCTAATACATGTCCCAAATATTTTGCAAAGTTCCAAGGTACTGTTATTGACCTATAGAGATAGGAGTAATTCATTCTGTTTTAAGGGGTCATTAGGAAGTCTTCACACAGGAGGTAATACTTGACTTTGCAGATTTTACATGGCGTATAGGAAAGCATATATAGCATATGTAAAAGGAATGGGGCTATTGGGCAGCTTGTTGCCTCAGCAGAATGATGATAATAACCAACGTGAGTGAAGATTGTTGATAGATTCACCAGTTGAATGTGATCCTGGAGTTAGTACATAGGAACACCTATCTCGTAGGAAATATAAACCAGAAATGGTGTCTGGCACATAATTGCTATTTTTCATCAGAAGTACCTGATGTTATTATTAGAGACCAGAATGTGACGTGGGCCCTAAGAAGCTTAGACTTTAAATCTGTTGGGGATGTGAGTGACATGCCATGGTTAAATTTGTGGGAGTTTACTGATACTTGGAGTCTGGCCTGAGAGATTTAGTCAGAGGCCATTGCAGTCATCTAGGCAAGAGGTGCAATGAGAGTATGATCCAGGGTAAAGACAATGAGGATGGAGGAGTGTGTTGGACAGTGCAGTTGCCAAAACAGCATACCACAGACTAGCTTAAACAAAAACGAATATTTTGTCATAATTCTGGAAGCTGAGATGTCCAAGATCAAGTTGATGGTTGTTGGTTCCTGGAGTGGGCCCTCTTCCTAGCTTGCAAAAGGCTGCCAACTTGTTGTGTCCTCATACAGAGGACAGTAGGGGGAGAGTGAGCTCTCTAGTGTCTGTTATAAAGGATTAGTATTATCATAGCAGGGTGCCATCTGTATGACCTCATTTTACCTTAATTACTTCCTTGGAGAACCTCTCTCCAAACAGAGTCACATTGAAGGTTATGGTTTCTGTATATGAATTTTGGAGGAACACAGTTCTGTTCATAGCAAAGAGTAAAATCAAGAGCTTGCCTCCTGACTTGAATGTGAGGATGACCTTGAGATTGCTCTGTGGGCTTCAGATTTGGGTGAGTGAGTGAGTGAGGCTGCCACTATGATGGTAGACAAGGTCCGGGAGGTTTCTAGTGTGCAGGTGTTGTATTTCATTGAAATATTTTTTCCTAATAAAGATTTTGTGAAGGTTAGTAAGCCAGAATATGATTTTCTGTAGCTTGTTCTACCCAAAAATAACATGCTTTAATTATAGATCATCTTTCAAATCCATTTCCGTGAACTTTTTGAAGACTGCACATAAAATTTACCCTCCTAAGTAATTATGAACTTGATAAATGACTCCTTGTATGTATGGACTTCGAAAATTTTCGCACCAAAAGAAACATCCTTTAATTCCATTTACCACAAACATTTGAAATGCCTTGAATCTACTTATTGTTCTGTTGACAGTGACTATATCAGTTTGTGATGTGCTCCAAAAATAGTACTTTTATTTACAAAGAATTGTTTGAAACTTGAGTGGTTTGTCTGAATCTGAGAATTAGGACTTCAAATGGTGTTGTTTCACTTTTTTTTTTTTTTTAACATTTGGCAGTTTAGGTGATACCACACCAAGACGTTTCCTGCCTTTCATCTCTTGTTTGTATTTTGCTTCTCTGCTCCAACAGCATGACTTGAACAAGATGTCGGTTTTCCCTCTTATTGTATACCTGTTTGTCAGTGTTTGCTAATATTTCTAAATAGTTGAGGAAATAGTTTATGGACAATTGTCCTGTAAAACACGCAGAGTCCTAGTAGTGCCTTTTGGAGAGCTGTTGCAAGATGTGATTTCCAGAGCGATTGCACTGAAGCTCGGTGAGAGGCATTTACCTTATTTGGGTGTGTCTGATTGCTTCAGTGTGTGTTATGTATGTTATGTACTTTTAGCTTTTATTGAAGTATGATATACTGAGAATTGGATATATGCATTCTCATAAACTAAACACACCCATATAACCTGCATCTAGATGAGTTGACTTTTTTAAAAAGTTTAATTATGTTGTTTGGCAGAAAAATGAACCCACATGAATCTGCTTCATGGAGGAAATTGTGACCTTTGAAGTTTTTCCTTTTACTTTCGTATTAGCGTGTTTCCTATTATGAGATGTGTTTAAGAATTAACTAACCCTTCAACTAGTTTTATCATATATTGCTGTTAATTGTTTATTTATAATACTGCCTGTCTTTTTGTAAAGAAAGATAGTAACCTGAGAAATATGTGCTAGCTGCTCTTTGAGTCTTTGAAGGAAAGTTTACTGAAGGACAAAGTTATTTATATTTAGTTACTTAAGTAAAATTCATGTGGCCAGCATTCTGGCATAGTGACTTGGATTACCACCTGCAACACATGTGTCCCGCATGGGAGCCAGTTCGATTCCTGGCTGCTCCACACGGTCCATCTCCCTGTTATGTAGCTGGGAAAGCAGCTGAAGATGGTCCAAGTGATTGGGCTCCTGCACCCATGTGGGAGACGCTGATGAAGCTCATGGTTTTGACCTGACCCAGCCTAGCTTTTACAGTGATTTTGGCAATCAACCAGTGAATGGAAGATCTCTCACTCTTTCTCTCCTTTTCTGTAATTCTGCCTTCAAATAAATCAATCAATAAATCTTTTTTAAAATAAAAATGAACTAAAACTTGGAAATCAAAAGAATGTCTTTCAGTACCTTGTTGGAACTCTTTTTTAACAGACCCAAACTAAGGATATATAATTCTTTTTTTTTAAAGATTTTATTTATTTTATTTGAGAGAGAGAGTTACAGACAGTGAGAGGGAGACAAAGTTCTTCTGTTTGTTGGTTTACTCTCTAAATGGCTGCAATGGCCAGAGCTGCGCCGATCCGAAGCCAGGAGCCAGGAGTCTACCACGTAGGTGTGGGGGCTCAAGGACTTAGGCCATCCTCTACTGCTCTCCCAGGCCACAGCAGAGAGCTGGCTTGGAAGAGGAGCAGCCGGGACTAGAACCGGAGTCCATATGGGATGCTGGCACCGCAGGTGGAGGATTAACCTACTGCGCCACGGCTTCGGCCCCTATAATTCTAATTCTAATTCCTGTGGTTATCTTGGCTACTTACTCTTTGAGCCTTGTTACACACTAGGCAAGTTATCTTATAGACTTTTTAAAAAAAATTTTTTTTGACAGGCAGAGTGGACAGTGAGAGAGAGAGAGACAGAGAAAAAGGTCTTCCTTTTCCCGTTGGTTCACCCCCCAATGGCCACTGCAGCCAGTATGCTGTGGCCAGCGCACTGTGCTGATCTGAAGCCAGGAGCCACGTGCTCCTTTTCCTGGTCTCCCATGCAGGTGCAGGGTCCAAGAACTTGGGCCATCCTCCACTGCACTCCCAGGCCACAGCAGAGAGCTGGACTGGAAGAGGAGCAACCGGGACAGAATCCATCTGGCGCCCCGACCGGGACTAGAACCCGGTGTGCCGGCGCCGCAGGCGGAGGATTAGCCTATTGAGCCGCTGCGCCAGCCTTAGATTTTTGTCCAGTAGAAAAGATAAATCTGAATGCTATAATTTTCTTCGTCAGTAGAACATTAGCCATTTTTAAAAAGATTTGTTTATTTGGAAGGCAGAGTTTACAGGGGTAAGAGGAGAGAGAGAGAGAGAGAGAGAGAGATCTTCATCTGCTGATTCATTCCCCCAAGTGGCCACAACAGCTGGAGCTGGGCCAGTCTGAAGCCAGGAACCAAATGCCTCTTGTGTTTCTGCCATGTGGGTAGTCTTCCATTGCTTTCCCAGGTGCATTAACAGGGAGCTGGATTGGAAGCGGATCAGCCAGGACTCACACGTGCCCATATGGGATGTCAGCATGGCAGGAAGCGGCTTTACTCATTGTGCCACAGTGCAGACTCCAACATTAGCCATTTTAAAAAAACTAACCTGGCTATCTGATTCCGAAACTTAAAAAAGAAGCAACAACAGCTTTTCTGAAGGAGAGTATAATCCTGTTACACAAATGCTCGTGGAACCAGCCTTACGATCCTGTTATTTAGTTGGTTGGATAACACGTTTGACACATGTTCATTCTGTGGTTGCCTGAGAGTCACCATTTAGCCTTTTGAAAATGATAGTTTGATATTCCCATACTGTTTCTGTCCTGTTTATTCACACTGTGCCCAGGGATTGACTTTCTAGGGCATGCAAGGCAATGCACAGCTTCCAAACACTGCATTGTCCTAGTTTCTTTTCTGTTTCTTCAGAGAAAGTTGATAGGGCAAAACTAGATTTTAAAAATTAAAAAATCCTAATAAATTACTTTTATTTTTTTTCCTAGGCTTAAGAACATAAAGTAGTCATTGTGGAAAATAACATTTTGAGAAACTTTTCTGTTGCAAGTGATAGAAGAAAAACGAATAGAGAAGTGCATCCTCTTGTGTGTGTATCTCACTGTGCTACTTTTGATAACTCAGCTTAGGAATGAAGCCACCATTATGTCCTCAGTCAGTGAAATAAATGTTGATATCAAAGATTTCCTAATGAGTATTAATTTGGAGCAGTATCTCTTACATTTCCACAAGTTTGGTTTTTATACTGTGAAGGACTGTACAACAATCAATGATACTGTGCTGCACAAAATTGGAATATCGCCCACAGGACACCGTAGGAGAATACTTAAACAGTTACAGATAATCTTGTCAAAGATGCAAGATATCCCAATATATGCAAATATTCATAAAACAAAGAAGAATGATGACACTTCAAAGGATTGCCATGCTCCACCTTCTGATCGGAACACCTGCAGAGAAATTTCCAACTCTGATAGTACTCACACACCTAGCTCAACACAGTTGGAGGCTGTTACACAAAGTCTTCATCAAAATGACATTGGTATGGAACATAGCCAGTCTCTTAAATCAGATGATAAGCTGTCTCTTCCTAAACGTGACTTCCCCGTTCCAGATCAAGAACCACGCCTGAATTTGGGTTCTTCTCATGATAGTTCATTTGGTAGTGAAAATATTAAAATAGAATCTTTGATTGCAAAGAAGACTGTGGATTGTACAATTGAGCAACAAACAGAAAAAGTTGATTCAATATTGGAGACTATCAGCAAGCTTCCTAGTATTGACCCTGAATGTCTTTCTTCCCTTGGCTCCTCAACATCAGATGCAAATTCTGTAAATGGATCCAATGGCTTAGTAGAAGCATCACCTCCATCCCCATTCTTTCAGTTTCAAGGAGAAATGGTTGTGAATGATTTGTACATACCGTCATCACCAAACTTGGCACCGATGAGAAGTCGCAGCAAGTTGGTTTCGAGACCATCTCGCTCTTTTCTGCTAAGACATCGGCCTGTACCAGAGATTCCAGCGTCAACAAAAGGAATTTCAGGAAGGTAAGGATTTTTATGACAAACTATAAATATTCAATTTGTGACAATTTTGTTATTTTTATCAGTTATATTTTCAGTCTTTCTAAGTTGGACTTTGATTATTTACCTATTCAACAAATCTGTACATTACTCTCTTGTAAAATGTTTTTCCCTCATATTTGTTTTGTATATTATTTCTCAGAGTGAATTTTCAACTTATAACAGCCTAGGACTTTTTAGCGTTCTCCTGTTTAGTATGAGGAACATCCTTCCTCCTAACTCTATCTGAATGTTCCTTCCCCTGCCTTCCCTCACACCTGGTCTTCCGTGAGTGAAATTCTCCTATATGAATTTCTGATTCTCTCCCCACTAGATTTCTTGTTCTTTGGCAAGGGACACATTTTCTGTTTTTGCATTTCTACTTCCTGACACAATGCTTGGCATAAACAAACATCTATTGAACTAGGTTACCAGTCGCTGTGATATGTGGAAAGGGTGTAAAGAGATTGAATCTAAGAGCTTCCAGTCTAGTGGAGAAGCCAGATGTTGAAAGATAGTAACAGGTACACCATGAAGCAGGTCCACTGGCAACTCTAGCATCCAGTGTAAAAGCCAGACACCAAAAGACAGTAGCAGGTATACAGAGAGGCCAGGTGCAGCAGTAACTCTGATATCCCGAAGATGGCCGCTACTAACTAAAGGTAGGCTATTGTGTCTTTTGGTAGCTGAACAGTGAGAGTCCAGCCAAGAGTCTTCATTTGGTTTTCTCAAAAGTTCCCCTTAACATACGGTAGTTTGGGTTTTTTTTTTTTTTCCCCGGGATGGGGGTAGAAAAATTTACTTTTTTCCCACTTAAGGGTTTATTTTTTTTTTTTTTTTGACAGGCAGAGTGGATAGTGAGAGAGGCAGAGAGAAAGGTCTTCCTTTTACTGTTGGTTCACCCTCCAATAGCCGCCACGGTTGGTGCGCTGCAGCTGGCGCACCGCGCTTCTCCTGGTCTCCCATGGGGTGCAGGGCCCAAGCACTTGGGCCATCCTCCACTGCCTTCCCGGGCCACAGCAGAGAGCTGGCCTGGAAGAGGAGCAACCAGGACAGAATCCCGCGCCCTGACCGGGACTAGAACCCAGTGTGCCGGCACCACAGGCGAAGGATTAGCCTAGTGAGCCGCGGCGCCGGCCTAGAATGGTGTTTCTGCGATTCTCCTCTTCCCCCTTGAACTGTGGCTGCACCTGATTCTTGGGCCTTTGGTGATTGCAGTGTGAGTTGTCTTTACAAAGGAAAGGTCACAGTGTAGTAGTTCAAAGAGAAAACAGGGCAATTTGCAAGACTCTTAACTTAGTACCTCCTATTAGAGCATAAACTTTGAGAGCTGATTAATTAATTTGTATGTTGACATCTATAGTGCCAATAGCCAGGTTTGATATTGAGTAAATCAGTAGTAAGAATGCCATTTATTAAACAAGTGCTTATTTAAATTGCAATTTTCCGGCCGGCGCCGCGGCTCACTAGGCTAATCCTCCGCCTAGCGGCGCCGGCACACCGGGTTCTAGTCCCGGTTGGGGCGCCGGATTCTGTCCCGGTTGCCCCTCTTCCAGGCCAGCTCTCTGCTGTGGCCAGGGAGTGCAGTGGAGGATGGCCCAGGTGCTTGGGCCCTGCACCCCATGGGAGACCAGGAAAAGCACCTGGCTCCTGGCTCCTGGCTCCTGCCATCGGATCAGCGCGGTGCGCTGGCCCGCAGCGCGCCCGCCCGCAGCGGCCCATTGGAGGGTGAACCAACGGCAAAAGGAAGACCTTCTCTCTGTCTCTCTCTCTCACTGTCCACTCTGCCTGTAAAAAAAAAAAAAAAAAAAAAAAAAAAATTGCAATTTTCCATGGATTATCTCATCTTCATAGTGGCCCTGTGAGATAGGTAATGTTTATCTAATTATACTTATGAGAAAGCTGAGCCTTGGTAAATCTCCACTTGATAATTTGGGTTGTGAACTGGAAATTCATTGCAGTACATTTTACTCCAGAACTCACTTTCTTCACCACTGATTTACAAAATATTTTTAAAATGTTGATTTCATATACAAGGATTGGATTATTGTTTGGGATTGTAGAATGTCACTAATTTTTTGCTTGACACTTTGGTTTTCAATTATTTTAGTAATATGAACAGTTTATAATATGAACAGTTTAGTAATTTGAACAGTTACAGGAAAGTGAAAAATTGTTTTAAGATGTCAAAAGTTTTTGCCATATGAGAAATGACCACTGTGAATGCATGTGTTGAAAGTACATCTTTGCCTGAATAAGATTCTTTTGGAATCCATAAGGATAGCTTCAATTAAGAATATTTTATTTAAGCTTCAAACAATATGTACTATTTTTTATGCATTTTACGGAGAATATTTTGATGCTTATTTAGTTGTATTGAGTGGCAAAACTTCACCCCTTCCTGTTAAGGTCTGGCCGCACACATTAATTAAATTAAGACAAATTAATAGGGGAAAACAGATATTTATTTAATACAAAAAATACAATTTTGTGTGTCATAGGAACTTTCCTAATGAGATGAATACCCTTAGGAGGAGTTAGAGTGAAACATTGAGTACTGAATTGGACAGAGTAGTGTATTGTGAAAAAGTAGCTAAGTTATGTGGGGGAGGCTTGAAAAGATGGGTTATTTTCCCAAGGCCTGTACAGATTGTTTTCAGTCTCTACTTTTTGTCCTTGAGGATAAGGATGCTGTTCCTTTCACATGGGAATTGCCATCTCCTGCTTGGAAGAAACAGCGTTTAGGTCAGGGTTGATCTTTTTGCACCTGTTATTTTCAACACTTGAATTAAATGCCTTTAATTCAAAATAGTCCTTAAGCCAGAGTGGTATATTTTTAACTTCTTTAGTCACAAATGTAAGCTTTGTATAATATAAAAGAATTATTCTTCATATTGTGATTATGCATATTTGAAAACAAGAACAGTAATAACATTGAAGTTAGTAGTTGATAATTAAATACTATATATATATATAGCACTGTTTTCAGTGTGATTTTTAGGCTAGATTACCCACAGTAACTTTTCTTTTCTTTGTTTATGGTAATAAATGGAAACTATGCACTTGCGGTGCTCAGATCATAAAATGGCAAGTAAATTAGGCATCACTATTTTTACTTATGGTCCTCCCCTTTTATTGCAAACAGTAATTGCAAGATTTTAGAATGCTATAATAAGACTTTAAATAAAACTGTGGGTTCTGTAATCTAAGCTTCTCTTTATTCAAATAATACCTGCATATAATATTTCATGTATAACCTGATGTGCCAAGTAAAAATACTTCTTTATGGTCAGCACTTTTTTTTATTTAATAAATGTGAATTTACAAAGTGCAACCTTTGTATTGTTGTGGCCGCCCCCCAACCTCCCTCCCTCGCATGGTCCTCCCCTCTCCCACTTCCTCTCCCATCCCGCCCTTCATCAACTTTTATTTTCAATTACCTTCATATACAGAAGATCAACTTAGTATATACTAAGCAAGGATTTCAACAGGCTGCACTCACACAACCGCACAAGGCATAGGGTATTGTTCGACTAGTAGTGTTGTCTTTAAGTTTCATAGTAAAACACATTAAGGACAGAGATCCTACGTGGGGAGCATGTACCCAGTGACTCCCGTTGTTGATTTAACAATTGGTGCTCTTATTTATGACATCAGCAATCACCTGATGCTCTTGCCATGAGCTGTCTAGGCTATGGAAGCCCCTTGAGTTCACCAATTCTGAACTTGTTTAGTTAAGGCTGTATCACAGTGGAGGTTCCTTCCTCCCTCCTTGATGGCCTGTTCCTTCTGCTGGGGTCTTGTTCACCAGGATCTTTCATTTAGGTTGTTTTTGCCACCGTGTCATGGCTTTCCATGCCTGTGAGACTCTCATGGGCCTTTTAGCTAGATCCGAATGCCACAAGGGTCGATTCTGAGGCCGGAGTGCTGTTTGGGGCGTCTGCCATTCTATGAATCTGCTGTGTGTCCTGCTTCCCCCTCAGGATCATTCTCTCCCTTTTAATTCTATCCTTCATTATTTGCTTACACTGGTCTTATTTGTGAAATCTCTTTGACACTTACCCTATCTTTTTGATTGGTTATGTACTTATCACTTTACCAAGTGCGATGGCATTGGTACATGCCTTCTTGATAAGATTGAGTTGAAATCCCCTGGCACATTTCTAGTTCCACCATTGGAGGTAAGTCCGAGTGAGCATGTGCCGTATGGTCAGTACTTTTAATGTGATTTCTAATTAAACATTTCGTCCAGCTGTTAAAGGGATTGTAAGTGTTTTCCTGATGCAGGGCCTTTGGGCCTCTCTCCTGAACATGGACCCTTCCTCCCGGCCGATTATCTGGCACAACTGCATCTGAAGTCAAAAGTGGATTGTCTTTGTTCTTGCTTTGGGGTTTTCCTTGGATTCCAACCACTCCTCCTCTTTGGAGGACTAGGCAGGGTGGGCTGTGCTGCATCTTGAACCTTAAGGTCTTTTTGTCTCCTATCTCTTGAGAGCCAGATCTGAAGCAGACTTTCTGCACCAGCAGCTTCCTTATCCCTTTCCCCTTGAGATCTCCCTGGTTCCTTGGAGCCTTCTAAGCAAAGCCAGTCCAGCACTTTGTCAATGCCATGGGAATTATGGTCATGTCCTGTGGTCCTTCTCAGAGGAGTACTCTTATGTCATGAGGCAGAAAGGACAAATGTCATGAAGTTACTAAACCAGTACATTTCTTCTTTTCCTTTACAGTATAATGATTTTTGTACATTGTGCATGCAACTATTTTATCCTTGACAGAAATTGCAAATCCCTTGCTTTTAGGTGTAGTGCCTTGGAATGTTTTGAGGGAAAGGAACTGATAGTATGCAAAACTTCATGGGAAGTGTTTTTTTTTTTTTTTTTTTTTTTTTTTTTGACAGGCAGAGTGGACAGTGATAGAGAGAAAGGTCTTCCTTTACCATTGGTTCACCCTCCAATGGCCACTGTGTTGGTGCGCTGCAGCCTGCG